CGGACGGCCCGGCGGGCGGGGGGCCTGCGGTACGTGTCAGCTGCAAGCTGCCCTCCGTGCAGCTGCAGCGGATCATCGCGGGCGTGGACATCGTGCTGCTGTGCTTCATGAACCTCATCATCCTCGTCAACCTCATCCACCTCTTCATCTTCCGCAAGAGCAACTTCATCTTTGACAAGCTGCATAAGGTGGGCATCAAGACACGCCGGCAGTGGCGCCGCTCCCAGTTCTGTGACATTAATATCCTCGCCATGTTCTGCAACGAGAACCGCGACCATATCAAGTCGCTCAACCGGCTGGATTTCATCACCAATGAGAGCGACCTCATGTACGACAATGTGGTGCGGCAGCTGCTGGCCGCGCTGGCCCAGTCCAACCATGACGCTACTCCCACCGTGCGTGACTCGGGCATCCAGACTGTGGACCCCAGCGCCAACCCCGCGGAGCCCGACGGCTCTGCCGAGCCACCTGTGGTTAAGCGGCCACGCAAGAAGATGAAGTGGATCCCCACCAGCAACCCGCTGCCGCAGCCCTTCAAAGAACAGCTGGCCATCATGCGTGTGGAGAACAGCAAGGCCGAGAAGCCCAAGCCTGTGCGCAGGAAGACGGCCACCGACACACTGATTGCCCCATTGCTGGATGCAGGTGCCCGTGCCGCACACCACTACAAGGGCAGTGGGGGTGACGCAGGCACTGCCACCGCCCCCGACAAGAAGCACGCACGCCACTTCTCTCTGGATGTGCACCCCTACATCCTGGGCACCAAGAAAGCCAAGCCCGAGACAGTGCCCGCTGCCCTGCCTGCCTCCCGCAGTCAGGAAGGTGGCTTCCTGTCACAGGCTGAGGAGTGCGGGCTGGGCCTGGCCACAGCACCCACCAAAGGTAGGGAGCCAGTGGGGGGAAAGGGGAGGGCAAGAGAGAAGCGGTCACCTGGGAACAGGATGCATGGGGTGCAGAACTAATGGGTTAGGGGGCCAAGAGGCAGTGTGAGGAAGAGGAAGGCTGAATCCAGCTCCAGCCGCAGCAGCTGCCCTGGCAGGTGAGGAAGAGCACGGTCCTGGCCCGGGCAGTTATGGTCCTCCCACTTTGCAGCTGGCCAGCTGCCTGGCTGAGAGAAGGGAAGACAAGCCTGCCCGGCAGGGACATAGGGAATTTCCCCCCCCCTGGGAGGTTCATGGCCTGCAACGCCTGTGTTCTACTGTTCACAGATACCCCAATCCCTGAGGAGACTCCGTACCCCACAGAGCCGGCCAGGCCCGGGCTTCCTGCTGGGGGCCCATTTCATGTCTGCTCCCCCCCCGCACCCCCCACTGTGGCCCCTCTGTCACCAGCCAGCCTGGGCAAGGCCGATCCCCTGGCCATCCTGAGCCGAAATGCCACCCACCCCTTGCTCCACATCAACACGCTGTATGAGGCCCGGGAGGAGGACGAGGGGGGACCCCGGGTGCCTCCGGACATGGGTGACCTCATCGCCATCCCCCCAGCCCAGCAAATCCTCATCGCCACTTTTGAGGAGCCCAGAACAGTCGTGAGTACAGTGGAGTTCTGAGGGACAGGCCACTAGGGCCCCTGCATGAGTGCGTGGACGCGGCCTCTGCCCACCTGGCACTGCCGCCCCAGCCACCAGCTGCATGCCGGGGCTCAGCGCCCTTCCACCTGGCTCGACAAGGCACCGGTGCGAGGGGTCTGGGGCAGGGTAGAAGCAAGGTGCCACCCACCCTGAGGCAGGTGCTGTGCCAGGTGCTGGGCTGCAAGATGAAGAGTTTATTTTTTTAGCCAGTTTTGTTGTGGGCTGAGTCTGTCAGGACAGCTCAGTGGCCCCAGCCCAGGGCAAGCAAGAAGGATACCGGGGCCAGGGCCCAGGGGTCACTCACGGAGGGGCCCCACCCCTGCAGGGGCCTGATGCCCTCGGGTGGGGGCAGGGGCGGTCCTGGGTCCAAATCAACTTGCACTTTCTCCCTGTAGCCTGACATACACTTTATTTTACTACGATTACTGTAACTGATGAGCATATTTATCACTGGGAGACTTAAGAGGAGTTTAAAGCAAGGGATGTGTGTGAATGGGTGTGACATACAAGTGCAATAGTGAACTACAGTGTGGGGCAGAGGCCCTGTGCCCCTGTACTACCAGCGTTTGTGAGCAGGTGTGGGTGCTAAAGAGCTTGAGTGTGCGATGTGTGGATTGACCTGCGTGTGCAAGGGGCACCACATACGTGTGAGCCAGCAGTTGAGGGCAGGTGGGCACCAGCATTCCAGAGAGGGAAGGAGTCCAACGCAATAACCACACCCCTCCTGGGCCCAGGCTGCTGCTGGCCCTGCCCCTATTACCTCAGCCACAGCGGCACGTGATGCAGTATTAACGAGGTAGCACTGAGCATATCAATAAATGTTATTCTGATAACCACTAGTCCTGCCATGCCCCACTCCCTGCACCGCGCCTCCCCTCTGATCTCCAGAGCGGTCCCTGATTTTCTCAGCTGGCCAGGGCTGCCTGCCAGGGTGCAGGGGTGTCGAGCCTCCACCCTGAAGTGTGAGGAAGGGAGGCTGGTATGTGGCTTCCGGAGGGATTCCGCTGGAGCCTGGCCCCGGGCACAGGGAGATGTTCCTTGGGTCAGACACAAGAGTGTGGGAGGCAGACTAGGTGCCAGGTATGCAGAGCTGGCAGGGCCCAGGAAGGCTTCCCAAGGAGGTGGCTTGGTGGTGCTCATCTTGGGTATGTTCACCGTGGTGGGGATCCATGAATAGGGCCTTCAACCTTAGGTCAAGGGCTCAGTGGGACAAAACTGGCCCTGGAAAGCCTCATGTCCTGCAGGCCAGAGCAGGTGACCCCAAGCACCTGAACCGAGGCTCCTTGGAGGCAGGGGAGCTGGGCCCACACCGCAGGGAGTGCAGTCAGCTGAGGTCAGAGTGGGCCCTCCTGCTACCCGGCCTGGGCCTCGTGGAAGCTCCCCCCAGCAGCCCCTTTTTAGCCCTAGGTGGACAGGGCTCCCCAGTATCCCTGGGATCAGGACAGTCTACCCCCTACCAGAATGGCTAAGGTGCAGCCAGCACCTGCATCCTGGGCAGGAGACGTGTTCCATTTAAAGTGTAGCTTTTACTATCAGCTCTAAAATGCTTGTTACTGCCCAGTATGGTGAGCACAGCACAGCAGAAGATGCCTGCCACGGACAGACATGTGACTGCTCACAGATCCTACTGAGGGGTGCCCCGTGCCACATGGGGCACACAAGGACAGGCGAGGGGGAAGGAGCGATGTGGGCAGGCAGCTCCACTGTGGCTCCCTAGGAAGAGCAGGGCAAACAGGTCAGGGGCTCAACCTTGGCTGGTTTGCAGAACCTCAGCAAGTAGGCAAGGGTAACCCTGGTTGCCTGTCTGGTTCTGGAGTGGCTGGGCAGGTGGACAGTGGCCCAGGGTGTGAGAGCTAATGGGGTGTGGGCTTTGAGCCGGTGGTTTGCGAACAGTGTCATCGCCAGCCCCGATAGGGTGGCTGCCCAGGGTCATCAAGGCCCCAGTGTCCAAGCCTCAGAAACACAGAAAATAAAAGATGTGGTAAACACACCCTGTTGGTGGATTCTGAGCACCCAGTCAGAAAGCTTGCCCCTTGCTGAGACAGGAAGCTTCCCCAAGCCTGGCATCCACACCTCCAGGGGAGGGCCCAGGTACCCTCAGGAACCCAGAAACCTGGCCATCTGCTCTCCAAGCTCATGACAAGCCCCTGCCCCTCGACCTATATCCAGACACCAACTCCACACGCAGAGCAGGAAACCCAAGTGAGGTTGCCCTCACCCTCCCCAACCCCACACATTCACCCTGCCTGTCCCCCTGCCTGGGCTTAGCCTGCACACCCCAGGGGCTCGCTCTGGGAAGGTGTCTCCTTGGTCAAGGAACCTGCTGGTCCAGGCAGTTCACCTAGGTTGGGCTCCTGTGCTCTCCCTGTGGGCCCTGTTTCTTTCTGTGGAGAAACAGGTAGAGCTGGGCAGAGGTGGACACAGCCCTGATTCCTGGGAGCCCCCAAGTCGAAGGGCTGTGCCCACCCCTTCTCTATGTGTCCTAGCTAGATTTGTCAGTCACTTTCCTGTCTGGGAAGTCTGTGCTGTTAAGTGACCCTTTTTTGCACAGAGCTGACCTTTGTAAGGAATCTGGGCTGGAGTCAGCATCCTGGTCCTGAAGAAGCAGACATCACTGCAGGGGCTGGGGACCTGAGCTCTGGCCTCGTGGCCTTGTGAGTTACTCCAGCTTTCCAAAAGCAGGCAGCCAGAGACCTGAAAGGAAGGATGGAGTGGCACACACCTGTAATCCCAGCACTCTGGGAGGCTGAGGCAGGAGGGTTGCAGGCTTGGGCAATTTAGTGATTTAGCAAGTCAAAGTCACTGTCTCAAAATAATGAGCTGGGGATGTAGCTCAGTGGGAAGGCCTAGATTCCATCCCCAGTACTGCCCCCTCCCCCAAAAAAGTGCTGGTCCCTCAGCCAGGTGGGGCTGAGTCCCAAACCCTTTGCCCTCCTGGCTCCCCTTAGTGTATCCTCGCTGCCCCAAGCCCACCTCAAGAATGCCCTCCTTTGCTTGGCTAGTTCCCCATCCCTGCCCTGGGCTCGTACTCTCCAGGCCTTCCTGGCCGTCTCTTGCCCACCCACAGTGACAGAACAGAACCTGCCCCAAACCAGAGAGTGCTTGGGACAGCTGAGAAAAGCCACTGGAGCTGTGCAGCCTGAAGCGGGAGGCTCAGGTCCTGCCAAGCGAAGATCTGTCTGTTTCCCTACCAGCCTGGCTGAGCACCCCTAAGACTCCACCTCTCCCCTCTCCACTCCTGGTCCACACAGCCCCAGCAGGAGACCAAGCCACCTTCCCAGGTGAGTCCTGGTAGCCACTCCACCTACCAACTCCTCTCTGGCAGAGGCAGGCAGGATGAGTGGGTTCCTCTCACAGAAGAGGTGGCTCTGGGAGACCCCTGCAATATCCCAGTCAGAATAGAGCAAGGCCTCTTCCTGCCCCAGGAGCCCAGCGCTGGGATTCCACCCAGTTAGGGAGGTGGCCCGGGTTGACCCTGAGTTGGGGGAAGCTGGTGACCCTGCTCCCGGTGGGAAAGTGGCCAGAACGGCAGAACTGATCAGAGAGAGCAAGGAGTGGCCGAGATCTGAGGCCTGGGGCCAGAGGTAGGTCCTTCACCCCGGGGGACAGGGGCCACAAAGGGGACCGGAAGCTGTGAGGAAAGGAGGTTCGGTGGGCAGCCGGCTGGCACATGCTGCAGGGGTGGGGACTGTCCCCACGGCCGGCCCAGGAGGCCACCCCGATGGGGAGGTGGGACGTGACTCTGCGGAGGCTCGGCGAGGCGGGTCCTGAGCAGCCCGAGTCGGGCCAGGTCGGCGCTCCAGTCCCTACGGGCCGATCTTGCCTCGGGAGTCAGGCGGGGTACGTTCCCGCCCCTTCTACGT